TATATATATATATATATATATATATATATATATATATATATATATAAGAAAACAGAAACCAGTGGGAGTGGGAGGGGGCGGAGCCTCCTGCAGGCCTGTGACCTGGTCAGGTGACCTCCGGCTGACCGTCAGTATTTTGAAGGGTCCAGTTTTCCAGTAACAGTATTCTATCATTTCATTGCCTGACAATGGCCGTGTGTCGGTGTTTTGAACCTGCGATCAAAGAAAAACCAGTTTTTGTGCCCTCCTCGACCATCGTGAGCTCTATCTCTTCTTCTTCTTCTTGGTGTGTCAGTGCATCCGCTGAGGGGCCTGTGTATAGCCTCGCAGCGTTGGTTATAACCTGAAGAATACTGATGAAAACGAATGAATTCATAATAATAAGATAATCTTGTTCTACATAAAAAAGACAGTGAATCTAGTTGTTGTTTGTGGCATGGTTATGCATTCAATGGTCATAATTTTAAAGATTTAAATGAAACAAAAAAAAAAAAGTTTTTTTCCCCACTGGCTCTGTTCTGCTGTTTCTGTCCTCCACCCATCAGTGATCCGGGTCCTGTTGCTTCTGGTGTCGCTCTCAGCTGTTCCCAGCAGAGCAATATGTCTGAACGGACACCAGGAGCGTGCACGAACACCAGAAGTGTGCACGAACACCAGGAGCGTGCACGAACCTCTGACTGCCCGTCTTCGGTTTGAATGTTCTGTATTGTTGCTGTGACGTATTGCTCTGGACATCCTTCATCGCTCTTCATCCTCGCTCACCTCCTCCTCCTCTGACTCTCCCGACTTCAATCCAGATTTGAATCTAAAATGTGGGATTAACAGAGTTTATTAGATTAAGACAACAGAGAGCCGAGGAGGACTTTATGATTTATTAAAAAATATTAAATCTTTAAATTTAGTTGTTTTAATTTTCAAATGAAGCATTTTTCTTTGTTGAGCAACAAAAACAACAACAATAAAAATAACAACAAATAAAGTGATTTAAAAAATATATTATTATTATTATTTTCTAAATGCCGAAAAGGAAAAGTTTTTTGGACTAACATTAAAATAAACCAACTTGTTTTTACCTTTTAATGTTCGCAAAAGAGAACAAGTCTATAATTTATTGTTTTTGTTTTTGAGAAATGAGTCCAAATTTACCCCAAAATGTTTTTATTTGCTGTAAAGTCGTAAAATCTAAATAACTTTAAAAAACGTGAGTTTTGAGGCTCAACAAAGAAATGATTTAAGAATCAAACCTGAAAACATTCTGAACCTGCTGAAAAGGTAAAATATAGAAAATAAGAACTGTGATTCTTTGTGTAGTTTTGTCCTCCTGTCAGACGGTCCGCAGGACCTGCAGGTCCTGATGTCCAGGATCCTTCAGGTCTTTGCTCCACTGGATCCTGGAGGTTCAGATCAGAGGTTCAGGCGGAGGACGTGAGCAGCTCCTTTTCCGTTCATCTCGTCCATGTAAAGACGAACACGTGTTGTCTCATCCTGCGTCCTCTTTGTCCCCCCACTGGACGTGGACTCACTCCATCCTTCCAGGATCCTGAACCGTTCAGCGTCCACAAAAAGAAAAAGCATGAATCTGATTAAACCTGCCTCGGGGCTGGTGTGGGGACGATCTGAGCTGGACAGCTAGAGTGTCTCCTGGTGTCCATCAGGGTCTGAGTCAGGTTGGACATCACAGGTCTTTATTTCTGTCCTCCATCGTTTTGTATTTCTCTGCTCAGCAGCAGGCATACCTGACCCACTCCTCCATTCTTGTACATATTTGTGCCAACAGCTTGGGCAGACAGTGGCTTTTTTATTTGTAAAGACATTAACTTGCTTGCATATATAAATAAAATGAAATAAGACACTTGTGTATTGTTTAAAAGAAAACAATCTGAGTTTGTGTCTTTATTTCTCAGATTCATGTTGAAGAACCTCAGCAGGAACACTCAGAGTCAATGAAAGGACTAAAAAGACCAAAGTGAACATTTTACATTTAACATTTCAAACTAAATAAATAGGATAAAAATGTAAAAAATCTGTAGACTGGATTAAAAAAAACATTGAAACTCTTTGTCTTTGTCTCGTTCTAATTCTGCGGTTCAGCATAAAATTATGCTTTTTATTAGAATTATTTTCAATATTTATACAAATGAAAACATCTGCGTAGACTCAAAGATTAGAAACCTCAGAAAATGAATGTGTTTAGTGTTTGTGCGTGGTCACGTGTCCAACTAAATGATGAGTTAAAAAAGTCTTTAACGTGGTAGAAAATACAACAAATGGCTTTAAATTAAAACATTTGAGTTAAAGTTTAACACCAGACTGGCGCATTATAGCAGGTCAAAGTTCTCCAGATTATTGACTATTTCCTCTTTATTTTAACAGTTTTTATACATAAAACTTTAACACTTCACTCAGTTTAACAAGGTCCACATGAGATGTTGGAGAACCAGAACATTCTGATGAGAAGTACTGGACCAAGACCTTCATGGATGAGGCCAGAGAACCTAACACTGTTGGAATCTGTGTGCTCAAACATGGAGGTAGGGCCTGTACAGGAAGGATGTGGGGACTGCTATTGCAACTTGTAACTGACGAGGCGATGAGATGGAGCCAGGGCAATGTGTCAGGGGGGATCAAGCACTACACCACCATCAAAGTCTGGGTACCAAGTCCCATTGAAATGCTCTGAGGAACAAGGGCAGCTGACCTGAGAAGGAAGACGGACCAAACGGCAACTAAACCTGCACCCCTTGACAAGGCTGAGAGGCAAAGCACTTTCTGAAAATCTGCCAGAACATGAGAATGCAGCATTGATAAGTCTCCCTGCTGACACCGCCAGAGACCAAAAAGCTGGTAAACCAGAACCAAACCAGCCACTAGGGAGCACCAGCCAGTGTGTCTCTGGTTCTGGTCCCAAGCCCTGGTAAATGGTGAGGGTTGTGTCAGGAAGGGCATCCAACCTAAAACACTTTTGCCGAAACCAACATGCAAATTCATCTAAGTGACACCATATCAAATCGGTCGAGGGCCCGGGTTAACAACAACTGCCACCGGTGCTGTTGAGAAACAGGGTGCCGGCAGAAATTGTGCTACTGTTAGTCAAAGACCATGAGGAGGGAAATGGGTCAGGAGACAGAGGGAGAAGAGGAAAGTCAAGAATGTAGGACTGAGGATGGAAACTCTAAATGTGGGGACAATGACAGGCAAAGGTAGAGAGAGACGCTGGACTAAAGAGGGAAAGAAGGACCTGTACAGATTGGTGAGACAGAGGGATCAGGCTGGAAAGGATGTGCAGCAGGTTAGGTTAGTTAAAGACAGGAATGGTAATGTTCTAACAAGTGAGAAGAGTTTGATGGGAAGATGGAAGGAGTATTTTGAGGAGGTAATGAATGAAGAGAATAAAAGAGGGAAGAGTAGAGGTCTCAGAAACTGTGGACCAGGAAGTAGGAAAGATTAGTGAAGGTGAAGACCAGAAAGTTCTGAAAAGAATGAAGAAGGGGAAGGATGTAGATATATCCGACATCATGTAGGACGTGATGGCATACCAGTGAATGTTTGGAAATGTCTTGGAGAGATGGCAGTGAGGTTTTTGACTCAAATATTCAATGGCATATTTGAGGGTGAGAAAATTCCTGAGAAATTGATAAGAAGTGTGCTGGTGCCCATTTTTAAGACCAAGGATGATCTACAGAGTTGTAGCAACTACAGGGGAATTAAGTTGATGAGTCACACAATGAAGATCTGGGGGAGAGTTGTGGAAGCAAGACTTAGATGAGAGGTGGATATTTGTGAGCAGCAGTATGGTTTCATGCCAAGAAAGAGCACCACAGACGCCATCTTTGCTTGAAGAATGCTGATGGAGAAGTACAGAGAAGGTCAGAAAGAACTTAGTTGTGTCTTTGTGGATTTAGAAAAAGCATATGACAGGAGGACAGCAATACATGTTAGACTGGTACAGGACATGTATGAGGACAGCAGGACATGTAGACAGAACTGGAAGTAGCAGAAATGAAGATGTTGAGGTTCTCCTTAGGAATGACAAGGATGGATAAGAGTAGGAATGAGATCATCAGAGGTACAGGACAGGTTGAACAACTGGGTCAAGTTAGAGAGGCCAGACTGAGATGGTTTAGACATGCTCAGAGGAGGGACAGTGAGTTTGGACATGTCCAGAGGAGGGACAGTG